ACGCAGGCTGACTGGGGATGAAAGCGTAAGGTGTGGAAATGTGGAAATGTGGTGGAACAGCAGAATGAAGGAGGACACTGACAGCTGTTTGACAGGCAGAGTGCTGAATGAGCTCAAAAACTAAGCTCAGTGCACGCACGTCTGTACTAACATTTACCAGAATGATGCATTCAAAGGGGAACGCTGTGCTAATGTTTATTCAAGACTTCATCAAACTCTTTCCCACAAGATCAGGCAGCACTGTCACATGACCTCCAGCTTTATGCAATATGAAGTGATGCATTTCTACATAATTTAACAAAATACAGTAAATCAGCCAGTGTGTGTGTGTGTGTGTGTGTGTGTGTGTGTGTGTGTGTGTGTGTGTGTTAAAGCTTGTGTGAACCCAGGATAGGGTTTGTGTGTGTGTGTGTGTGTGTGTGTGTGTGTGTGTGTGTGTGTGTGTGTGTGTGTGTGTGTGAGAAAGAGATAAGGTTTCCTCATTAGTTGAGTCGGGCTGAATAATGCAGGTAGGTGTATTGTTGTGGCCAATGGGCCAGGTGCTAATGTGGCTGTCTGAGGGTGAAGGGGCAGACACAGCATGACTTTAATGGATGTCACCATGGGAAACTGAAACCAGACCACTGGACTTGGGTGACACACCAGCCTGCGTGTGTGTGTCTCTTGTGGGATGTACAGTATGGTAAGATTACAAAACACTTTGCTGGTTCTCAGAGAAACAAAATTAGAGTTGAAAGAGGTTAATAAATACTGTAAACAAAAAGAAAATGAAAGAATGAGCTGAAATAAGCTTTTACCATTCAAATATATGTAAAAGCAAACTTAAGGCCTTTATTCATGTAGGAGCAGGAGCAGTGCCACAGTTAAAAAAGCGCCTATTGCAGTCTGCAGTTGGGTTCAACAATGTGCAAGTTTTTCTCAGCGTTGTCCGACTGGCAGCCAACATACAGTACTTCTACTATACAGGTGCAGTTAAGACACACACCTATATGTTTACAGTATGTTTTTATTCATTTAAGTATAACATTGATTCATAAAACTTTCTATTTATGCAAATCTGTATGGTCAAATAGACTAAAGTCATGAAATGAATTTGAATTTATCGGGCTCTTGTTTACAGTTAAATTTAGTAGATTATGTTTTATACTTCATTGCAGCACTATGTAACAATATGACCTAAATAGCTCTGCGAAGGATTAGACATGACACAAGTCTTTTATTTATATTTGTAGATTTATAGTGTGTGTGATAGTGAGTATGTGCGTGTGACCTCAACCCTCCTATCATTCTCTTATGCCCTCCCAGGAGGCCATTACTGTGTCGACGGGCTTGTTTAACTCTAATTTTAGCCGGGATTGCTAGTGAGTGAGTTCTGAAGAGTCCTGCCAGTGTGTAATGAAGTCTTTATTTGAAGTCTAAAACTGATGAAACCGCTTTAGGAAGCATGTGTTAAATCAGCCACTTACAGGTTAAAGTGGCCAAATAGACAAGGATGAAGAGATAAAAGCAGCTAACTTTAACTTTTCTCACATAACTTACTGCTATTTTCTATCCTGTGTGCACAAGTGTATTTTAATAATGATCAATAAAATTGTGTCAAGTATTTTTTAAGAAACCCTTAAAATGTTATAATTCAGTGCTCTGTTTACTGGTTTTACTGGTCTTGCTGTTTGTGCTTTGTTTTCAAACTAACTATAAAAGTGCACTCAGTAGAGGCCAGAGCTCTACCAGGTCTGGTTTCATCAAGTAGCGTACAAATAACACTCCAGTGTCTTAAGTCATTTCACATGTTGTCACGCCTTTTTTGCTTTTCGCATCATTTCACGCCATTTAGTCCTGAGCAAACACTGTGTGTCATTTAATTTGCAAATGTCACAGAAAAAGAAAATCAGATGATGTAATATAAAGAGTGACAAAGTCCGTGTAGGGAATAAGTCAGCTTTGAAGGATGGACCAGGAGACCGCTGTTTGTGTCCGTGTGTAACATATTTCACTTACTTCAAATACGTAACCTAACTTAACTAATTTAACTAACATAATTATTTTAACCCAAGCCATTGTCTTTTCTTAAACCTAACCAAGTAGTTTTATTGCTCAAACGGTAAACTGTCTATGATGAGAAAGTTCACCTGACTATTGGTACCATGTCAATGAAGGTCACCTGATGAAGGTCCCCTGACTGTATCCTTTCCTGCACGTCCAAAATCATAAAATGCCTCAACTCTAATAGCGTTAAATGACACGCGAAATGTCCTTAAAAGTGCATTTATGTCATCCCATGATATCAGGTTGGTTTTGGGGCACGTGGGTGTGGAAAGGGGAATGCAGACATGCTGTGTGTCCAGTGTGTCTGCACTAGAGAAATTGTACATAGATACACACACATAAATACACACACTGGACTAAACACATGTCTCTGTGCAGTGAAGTAGCTCGATGGTGCATGTGTACGAAACAACATGCTTTGTTGGGGAATGGGATCGACTGGTCATGGTTTAGCACCCAGCCTAAAACTAATCTTATTTCTCTGAATATTTGTTATTATACAGAGCCCCCCTGGTGACATTGGAATAAAAAAAAATAATGGCCACGAGATAGTAAATGCGTGGCCACGAGATAGTTAATGCGTGGGCACGAGATAATTATTGCGGTCATTTCCATGCAGAGACTGTTGATTGTTAACAAGTTTGAATTAATTTTATTTTATTTTAATATAGGAATGAATTACAATGACATACTTCAGTCACTTGCGGTTAAGCATGGAGTAATTCTTAGCAAGACACACCACAACACAACACAACACACAAATGAGACAGGCAACAGGAGGAAAATTGCTGCTCTTGTGTGAAGTAATCGCAACATTTTTAAACTTTCTGCGAAAATATATGTGACTTTTTGCAACGAAAATGCAGGGATTACGAAATAATGGAGAGGGACTGCATTTAGCATTGCCAACAGTGACATGTCCGGCTTCACTTAGAAGTAAGCTCCTCCAGCCCGTCATAGCATTATTATTGACATTACACTTGCCATGACAATAATAACAAAGCTACTCTTGAATACAAAATCTACGGAGGCGTATTGCAATCACTTGAAAATTGATTTTTTCTGAGTAATTATTTCTGTTTTTCTGAGTAATTTAATTTTATGGTTGGTTTTTTGCTGATTTTCTGAATAATTTGTTTTTCTTCTGTTTTTCGAACTCATCTTTTTCTGAGTTGAGAGAGAATTTGAAACAATAGACGCATTAATTCCTTTATTGAGAGCTCGATTTAACAGAAACAAACATAACCGGCTTGTTTAGTTCAATCAAGTTATACTTTGATCTGGGTTTAAGACACTGGGAGATAGTCCTGTCTTTAAGTCATATAGATGGTATTATCATTAGTTTGTCGACTCTACGCAGGCACCTGATGTCTTTGCGGTTGTTCAGAAGGAAAGCCCATTTAGAACTGCTAGACATAGCAATATATACACAGCAAAATCGGCCCGGTACGGTAGATAGTTGAAGATGGGGCATATATGTGCAGGCAGCAGTCACCATAGGTCCACGGGCATCACTTGCAGGTTGGAGGTTCTCGCGGGAGTTAAGTATCTCGATAATTCAGAAAAAAAATTACTCAGAAAAACAGGAAAATAATTACTCAGAAAAGCAGGAAGAAAAAATTTGTCAGAAAAACAATTTTTTTTCAAGTGAATGCAATACGCTTCCGTAAAAAGCAGACTATAATTACCAAATAAATAACCAAATTAACGCATTAACTAGATAATAACGCGTGGCCATGCATAATTTTTTTTTTTATCCAATGTCACCAGGGGGGCTCCATATTATTATCAGTTTTCTAGCAACACAATTTCCTTGCTGTTCATCTTCTTTCTGTTATATATATTTACAGTATATACATATTTTAGTAGGGAGTATATTTACAAAGTGTGAGCGTTCATTCTTGATCTTGAAAAAAAATCTTAACTCCCTTAATCATTTCTTTTTTTATCAGAGACCGGTTATATATATGATATATACTTATATGACCACCTCTTATCACATGACAATAGCTGAGTCAGCTTCATCTACTGAAGAAAGTGATTTGAAGTTCCTGAATTAAGTCTTTTCTTTCTTTACTTTGTCAAATATACAGAGATTATTTCCACATAGATCATGTTTACAGGAGGGCGATTTAACAATAATAACATTTTTTGAACAGCACTGATGACTTAATCCTGAAATACTGACGCCTGATGAATTCCTTTACAAATTTCAGATTACAATGTGCTCACTTGCTCACTTCTTTTTTCAGTCCAGACACATTTCAACATATGACCTGACCTTAAAATCTTGCAATACAAGGAGTACCCACACACTGGAGTCACAGCTTCCTTTAATGTAGCAACGTTTTAACTAACTACAGATCTTCCTCTAGTAAAATGTGTTATTTTATTGCAATTTTATAGATTTTTTGGTTTGTTTCCAGCACCCGACTATGATCATTTGAATTCCTAACATATAAAACAGAAAACTTCCTTGAACTTTATCACACATTACTCTGTATTCCTCCTGTGGCTGCCAGACTCTTCTGTCCTGCTGTGATGCTGATGAAGAAACAATTTGGTGAGGAATGTCATGAAGCGTACAGACTCTCTTTATTTAAACCTAAACACGCTGTTTCTCCCTCTCCCGCACTCCCCTCTTCCATCACTCCTTCCCTGCATCATACCCAAGATGTATGTGAAAGGTCGGGGGTCATTCCAGGTCTAAATGCAAAGTCTCACCTGACAGCGAGTGCTGACGTTTGTTAGAGACTTCCCTAACTTTCATCAAAGAGAGAAACCTTCAAAGCCTCATGTGAGACTGTCACCCTCTCTTTCTTTCTGCTCAGACTATTGCAATAATGAGGGTATCCTGGCTTATCTGCCCCTCAGTTCATTTTAAGGTGATCAAAGGAGGAATGCTCAGAGTTGTGGGTGGTTTTGCATTGCTCAGTAGTCGGTGATGATCTTACCTGAGCCCCACATTGGTTCCCTCTGATCGAAGTGATCCAGATCCTTTGTCCAAAAGGTCAGTGTATCAGCCAGCATAAAGTAATACAGACAGAAGTCCTCTTTGAGTGGAATAAATTAAAGCGTGCTCGCGTTACTGTGAAGAGATAAATAAAGTAGCACGAAGCGACATGAGCGTAGACCTCACAGCAGTCAGCTGGAGAGTGGAGGGGAAATGCTCAGCACAGGCAGCCACATACCCACACTGTAGCTGCATCAAACAGCAGGCGGCTTGATGTTCAGCTCCTTAATCATCCTCACTGTTTCTCTCTCTCTTTCTCTCTCTCTCTTTTATCTTGCTCTTCTCAGACTCTTTTTAATCCCTCTCTGTGTTTCTCTGTGTTTTTTCTGTGTTTTCCCTCCATGCCGTCACGTCTTTCCTGGGAGCGAAGGAAACAAGTGCACAAGATTCCAGAGGCTAATTCTGCTTCTTAGGACATGGGAACCTAATATGTGAGGACAACTGTGGCAGGAGGGAGATACAGGCTGAGAGTGTGCGAGGGAGAGGAGGGGCAGGACAGAGAGGAGGGGGACCCAGCGACGTATGGCAGATCAGAGGAAACAAGGATTGGAGTGTGTATGTATGTGGTGTGTGTTTGTGTGTGTGTTGTTGTTGTTGTTGTTGATGAGGAGAGGGAAGAAAGCAAGTCATTGAAACTGGAGAGACATGAAGGAGAGGAAGAAAATGTTGACATGGTGAAGCAAAGGGAAATATGATTTAAGAATGAAACAGATGGCTTACAGGTAGATATGTTACAAATGACTCCGCCCAACAGGTATCATTCTCACATATGTTAAACAGTATGTGGCTTTTCATTTAATATTCAAAATGTAATATGGTCACACACCACTATTTCAACCATGGCTCAAATACCTGAGCAAAAATCCTCATGCAACTTTTGCACATTTGTGAGTTGAGAGATTTATTTTATCGGGCAATCAGCTGCATTCACTGCACCTTTCTACTGTGTCATGTGTACACTTTGGTCTTTGTCTTTCTTTTGGTGTTTTGACTCAGCAGATGTGTCAGAATTCATGAAACGTGGATAAAAAAAAGTGATGCTTTTATACAACTACACTAGTTTAAGGGAAAACATTTTTTTAGGTTGCTCTGGAAATTAAACAGTGCAAAAACACATTAGACTAGGTTTGAGTGTCAATATAGAATACAACATATTAGACTTTCTCAATGATAGAACTTCCATCATTGTCCCCTGAGTTCTCACAATCCACCAACCTTTATCAAGATGATTTTATGATCACACAGTAGCCTATATTCACTGAGACAATATAAATCTATATTATATAAGTCTGATCTGAGTTTGTACACATCTAGAAGACAATGAGCAGCATTCATTTTAAGTTCAACATTCACCTTCTTTTAGCTCTGTTTTTGGTCTCAACCATATCTTGAGGGAAATATTGGGCTCTCTAGCTGCTAAATGCTCCACAACTAATTGCTAACTGTGTCTTTCTGCTGTTTGGTTCCTGGGCAGTATTATATGGTTGGTTTATTATAGCTTTTTCGCTAAAAATAGCTACTTGCTGCGGCTGATGAGAGCAGAGCCAGTCAAAACAGTAAAGTTACAGATTGTAATGAGCTGAAAGACATCAAAATGTTCCGTAGGACTGTACCCAACTCAGAATTTTGTCAGTCGACATTGGCTGTTCAATGCAATGATTTGTCTATTTGCCCCATTTTTTCAGGTCAGTGACACACTGAACTCCTGTATCAGCAGTTACTGTGGTGGAAACGCAGCTACATGAGTTTTATGTTGTAGTCTAGCTTATCTAATGCCGTTCTTCGTCCTCTGTGATGTGAAAACAACAGATTTCCACACAGTCAGACAAGTAAAAGTGTGCGTCCTGCTCATGGTTCAGTTATAAAATCCCTGTACACCACGGAGCATTTCTCCTGCCGGGTTAGATAGAGGAGTTTGTACAACCGTATGGTTCAAAAGTGGTTTAGCTGACTTCACTGACAGTGAAGCACCGGAGTAGCCGCTGCCCCGCTGTCCAGTGTCATTCTGCCCTCCAGTAACCATCCTTCTTCTCTGCTTCCATGACAGTTTGTGGTTTGTGGTCATTTTGAGACTCATTTAGTAAAGTTTACAGCCTGCCATGGAGTTACTTTGTGTACAATAATGCTGCTAAAAACCAAATGTGCAGAGATTCGACTGACAAAATGCGAGTCGACTCAGGGTCTGATGACTCAAATCATCAAGTTTTTTAGGAGCAGGCCTACATAAAACAGATGAACTGCAGAGTTGGGTAATGATTATTTGTGGGTTTGACACTACGAATGCACCCATCTCACATTGCAAAAAGTCATTTGATCTGTAATATATAAATATATGTTAGTGTAGCATTAAATGACATGATGGATGATATGGTACACATTTCACACTCTTAATAGAAACTAATGAATTTGACTTTTTTTAGTTTGTTTACTTTGTGGTGTGATAAAAATGCACTGACTGTCATATATTCCTAACTCTATTTATCCACTAAAGCAACACTCACAGGACAACAGCCTCCTGGTGCTGTGTTTTTTTTTTTCTGTCACATCCCACAGTGCAAAGCATCAAACATCAGGCGACAACTTTTACAGTCAGTGGCCTTGTTTAAAATGCTGATCCAGCCATTACGCAGTTCAATCTGTCATCCAATGAAACACCCAAAGAGAAGTTCTTGGATAGCTGGGATGAAGGAATTAAATGTGGATGGTTGTGAGATGAACACAGTCACACAACATTTACAAACATGATACAGCTGGACTCCTATGCCAGTTAATGTGTAAATTCAGATCAGATGTCATAAATGTGCTTGCAAGTGTCGTTTCAGAGAGGTACGAGAGTATTAGATAGAGGAGCAGGAGGCGAGGCCTGAGGTGAGATTGACGCATGGTGCAATGTCGAGTAAATGTCAGTCTAATTCTGATATGCTAAAAGGCCTGTGAAGAAGAAGACAGCTCTGCTCTGCCTCGTGCATTACAACTCTCCTACAGAATATTGTGAATAAATGTGGAGTTAAGTACAGGCTATCACAGCTATATAAACAGTTTAATGACATCCAGTGTGTGAAGAGCTCTTGTCTGAATGGGACAGGCTGTTTAGAAAAACCAAGCGTTTAAATGCGAGCAGTAAAAGCAGTAATGGCACTGTCCTGTTAGTCTTGACAGGGTCACACTGTGACCCTTCTTATGATCATGTGAACGTACATCCTGGTTAAATTTACGGTGGACACCTTCACTTTTATTTCATTTGCATAATATGGATACACACACATATGCCAAAACCTTCTGGCAACATGCCATGTAGGGGTTATGTTAAGGGACAGTGGGGAAGGACAGCAAACTGGAGCAGTAAGCACATTTCACCGGGGGGATACAGTTACACATACACGGATTCCTCCCCCTCTCCCCTTCAGGGCCGCTCTTCTCTTTCTAAACCATTCTCTCTGTCTCTCTCTCTCTGCAATAAAATTTTTACAAGAACGCTCACCATTACTTCCGGCAGAGTAATGCAGGATGTCCCTTTCCTCTCTTGCTCTGATCTATATATGGCTTATCAATGTCTCCATTCCCCTCGACATGTGGAGCAGTTCGGAGCAACATAACAACTCATTCAACCAACAAATTAAACTACTGTTGGCCACAGTGATGCAGTTAAATTTTTATGGTGGCACTCTGTTCACATACTTTTTGCCTAGGTTGGATTTTGTGTCAGACAACTAATAGTCTATAAGTAACAGGACACCTTATACGTTGAGGCGGGTAATTTCTGTCCTCAGACGGAGGTCAAACCAAGCCAACTGCTGGACACTGGCTGTAGAAGATCATTTACTGGTTCAATATGACACACAAAGTTACTGACATTCTTTAATACTATGAACCAAATGTTTCTGTATGAGTATGTATGTGTTCTTGTTGATAAAAATCACTCTTATTATATTAATAAATCAATACTTTACTTAAATAAAAACAGAACTTGTTAATTCTTATGTTTTGTATGTAAAATAGTCGGTGAAGACCCACCTTCATCAGAATCACTGAACAAATAATTTCTCTCATTATCTATAAAGGAATTATCACACAAATGAAATTTAACAACAATAATGTTTACCCCAAACAAGAGTTTTACTTTAAATGGTGCCAATTGTGTTGTTTTCCTACAAAGCTTTGGCTGCTATTCATTCCCAGTGTGCCAGCAGTCCTGGAGAGCACTGTCTGTTTTTGTTCATCAGTTTTTCCACCTCAAGGATAAAAGCACCGACAACATCCCTCTTCCCTATTAGCCCTTGGTCTTCAGTGCCGCCTTTGAAGATTTAATCAGTCAGATTTCCTTGATTAATCCTTTTTCATGTCCTTTTCACTGTAAATAATTACAGAGTTTGATACGATCGCTAGCTGGATAGAGAGGACAGCATGCAGATTTCTGTTAGAGCCGACTCCCCAGGTACCTTCATTAGCCTGATTATTCTGATCCAAACACACTCCAGCAACCAGTTTACATGTAAATAGGTTAATTCTATCCCCACTCCTCACTCACTCTGCCGGTACACTGTGTTTAACAGAAGAGATCTCACCAAATGTTATCTGTTTCATGCAGGCTATACCCTGTGTAACATCACTGTCAAATATATCATTTGCACACAACAACATTGTGTTTAACAAATTAATTTAAATCAACTGCAGTGAAGGACCACGTGTCTTTTTCTAGAAGGCCTTCACAGTTACAGCCGGTTGTCAAATGATGACACCTAGTGGACAAATGCTCATCTCTTATCTAATTGATGATTTTATTTCAGCAAAATACATTCACCACTTGATGGCAGTACAATTCTACTCTCCTCCTCTATAGTCTCACTACTGACAAACACATCTTACGATTGCCAAAGCACATACAGTACAGGATACTACTTTTCCCTGAATCTTGTTGAACTAAGATTGTTTTATTGGTGTCTGAGTGGGTGTTTAGCAACACCATCAGATGCCTTGTTGCTGAGCATAATAGCTGCATGCTGTTGTGTAGCAGATGAGATGAGGAGTTGCTGCTCCGGCTGCCCCTCTCCCCTCAGGATTAGTGAGTTAATGCAACCATTCAGACACTGAGCTCTGATCAGCTGCTTAATACTGTTTTATCCCAAATAACACAACCATGCACGCACACAGACTGTCCACAGACACTTACTGCACAGGCATAAATATACATATACCTAGTAAACTCTACACATACTGTATACTTTTTACAATATATGGTTGACAGGTAATATTCAGCCAGTAGGAAACTTCTCTCAGGCAAAAAGATAAAACACGCCTTATTTTACAGGCTTGTGATTTTCTAATAACTTCCCAGAAAATTTGAAATTATAGGAAAACATAAATTTCCTTAAAATAACTGCCCCATTTATTCACTTATAAGAGGAAAGTTCTCTTATCTATACAGGTGGAATTACATGCATGATTGCAGACTAATTTCACATTTTGGATGCTTTCGTATGTGCACTGAAAAACTTCAAGTGAACACTGTCTTTATTTTTCTATTTTGAGTACCAGATTAGTTCCTTCTTAATTTTCTTTTTATGATTCAAAAATCACAGACCTGCGACATAAAACATTACCAACATGTTCCTTTAACCAGAAATGTCAATTGTGAGCTTAAAAGTCTCTTTTATTTCTCTTTTTTAAAAGTGTTGGCCAAAATAGCCCATGCAATATATAGCACCTCTTCTGCCATCAGGCTCATAGATCCAAGTCATAGTCAAGGGGGTCAAGGGGGTAAGGGCGAATGCAGCCCTTCGTTTGTCTTGGGTGCGAAAGTGCCCTTTTCAAATGGAAAATCTTTTGTCACCCTAAGACATTGGTCTATCAACAGTCTATCATCTATCATGTGGATAAATAAGGAATATCCCACATATCCAGTGTCAGATGCTCTGTCTGAGGATAGGCTGTGTCTTCAAAGAGGAGAGAGATGCCCTGTTTTTGTTATTCATCCCGTCCCTTCAAAGTTGGTCCCTGGCTTCCCTGGTTAGTAGTGCAAATGCACTGCTAACACACACGCGCACACACACACACACACACACACACACACACACACACACACACACAGAGAGAGAGAGAGAGAGGCTTATACTAATCCTTGCGAAAACAAAGTGATATATCTCTCCCAGTGCAGGTCAAGCGTGGGATGTTCATCAGGATGTTTATCAGGATTATGAGCATTTCATCCATAATATAACCTCTAACATCATACTTACCAAACAGTCACCGTTCTAAATGGGAAGATGCAGTGAACATTGTGCAGAAATACACTGGTTGGGAAGTTGACCGGCAAATAGAGGAGACAACTGACTTTTTCTGACCATTCCCACCAGTGAGCCATGACCCAGTGTGACCTTGTGACCCCCTCTAACTGACCTCTCAGTGGGTGGCCTTCACACTGACCAGCCTGGACCATGAATCAACAGAAGTGGCTGTTCTTAGATCAGATCTTTGTTTTGTTTTGTCATTGTCTTCTCCACTTTCCAGCCTGATGTTTTTCTACTCAGTCAGTTGCTCTTTTTATTATAATGACATTATATAATTTGTTGTTGATAATGTTTCTACATTACAAAAAAAGGAATCTCCAACCTTATAAATCTTTACTCTTAGGTATTACAAATTTGCGTCTGTGTGTGCGTACATGAAAGGTCAAAGGTTTAAATGAACAGACGTGTTTATTACATATATGAGTGTGAAGTTGTGGTCTGAGTGAATGTCATTGGGATTATGCTGTCCCAGTGTCAGTGAAGAAGAAAGTCTGCATGGCCCGGCAGCCATGTTAATCATAAATCTTTATCTTACAATCCTGCCTCGCACATCCGACCCTTTCATTAAATGACAGCCGAAGGATTAGTGCAGCTAAACCACCGAGATCTAGTGGAGGAAAATGAGAAACAAAAGTATTGAGTAAACAGGAGCCCTCGCTACTGACGGTGATGCGATCTATCTATCTATCTATCTATCTATCTATCTATCTATCTATCTATCTATCTATCTATCTATCTATCTATCTATCTAACATAAACTAAAAACAGAATCAAAGGACTGATTGGTTTTTAATATTTTAATAACATCAACATTTCCAAAAAAGAAACAAAAATGAAAAAGACGAAGGGCAAAATATGTTGGAAAGAAGATAATCATTTGCACAACGTTAACCTGAGAATGACATTTTTGCTTTTTCACCTTGATCCATCAATCCCCATTATATACTTAAAATCCAAACATTCTGTAGACAACATCTTCCAAAGATCAGCTACTTTGCGCTAGAAAATCTACCTCTGAATATGTTTCAAGAGCAAAACATGTAATAAATGACAAAGAAAAGTGGACACAAAAGAAATATAACAGATAAACTATGAGTCTAAGTATCAAACAAAGAAAAACCTTGACCACAAATATATACAGAAGGAAAACCAGACGCACACCTGCACATCAGAGCAAAGTCCATTTACACTGTATTAAATTAAAGAATAAATAGTATTACTTTTAATTTATGTAGAATATCTGACATCACCAAAGCTAAATTAGAAGTGCTTATATCACAGTAACAGGACATGTGGTCAACATGGCCAAAGCAACATTTGCTGTCGCTAAATCATTTGGTAATCAGTTTTTTAAGAAAATGTAAGTCAAGTATTTTCTAATTTTAACAATGTGCAGCAGTGCTAGTCTATGTAAACAAACCCTTTTTATTCTACAGTTCCTCTACTACCAGACAGTCTACTGAGAAAGATTTGATCCCTCAGTCTCCTTCAGTCCAGAAGACATCAGCATCAGTTCATGAAGGATTAAAGAGCGAAGACCATCAGTCAGGTTTTATTGACGGTTGAAGCAGAATCGACCCTCCTGATTCATCTTAGTCTCTGTAGATGGAGGTTATCTGTCGGGGGGGCATGTGCGGTGGATGGTAGGAGTCATACGGCCCCTCTAAATGTACGTCATAGCCGGTCTGAGTCTGATACAGGCCCTGGTCCACAGGTGAGGGGGAGTAGTGGTGTGAGGGTGGGTAGTGGGGTGAAGGCTCCTGTTTGGGTACCATGTTGCTGCTGATGCTCAGAGGTGGTGTAGGGGGGCCATCATATGGAGGGGTCCCCACGCCGCCAGCATTATACTCATTTGGCGAGTGATTCTCGTACACTCCTCCTTTCATTGCCCTCAGGTGAAGCAGGTGAGCAGAGTCAAAAGTGCCATATGGAGGACTCGGCAGGCCCGGAGAGGAGTAGCTCACCATACCACCAAGAGGAGTAGGGGCTGCTGGAACTCTGTGTCTGTCCTCAGGTCTCATCCCACTGCCAGAAGCTGGTCCCAGCTGCAAGCAGCCAGCCACCAGGTTTGTGGTGGGCTGTGAGAGACCCTTACACAATGTCTCCATGAAAGCCCTGCTCTCTGTGGAAAGGCCCCCCTCCAGGGCCTCGGACAGAGCGCAGATGTAGTTGCGTGCCAGCCGCAATGTCTCGATCTTGGACAATTTCTGTGTTTTGGAGTGACAGGGCATGATGCTGCGCAGGTTCTCCAGCGCGTCGTTCAGACCGTGCATACGTGAACGCTCCCTGGCGTTAGCCTTTACACGCCTCGCACGGAATCGCTCCTGCCGGGCCTTGGTTATCCGCTTTTTCTTGGGCCCTCGTCGTTTGGACTCGTTTTCATCCTCCTGTTCCTCCTCCTCGTCCTCCTCGTCTTCCTCTACATCCTCACTTCCCATTTCCTGGGCCTGTTGGTTCACTCCACCTGCTCTGTAGCGGTGTGATGAGACTGACACGTCTCCATCAGGTGAGCTCACGTCTCCATCCATCCACTGCAGAGGGCTGACGGCCTCCTCTCCCTCGCCTTGTCTCACATATGGCTTAATCATCATAGTAGTCTAGAAACAAGAAAACATCTTTGTCAAACTTGTGCTGTGGTTTATAATCCTTATTACTGTAGTAGCTGTCTTACATTTCAGAAAAACTTGGGACATAATGTGAATTCAGTGCTTCTATTAGAGCAAATCCTTTATATTGCTGTTCTGTCTTAACTGTCTCATGCAATCTATGCATGCCATTATGAATATTATAGTATATCTCACTAGAGCTCAACTTGGTGTCACAGTGCTGTAGGAACCACCATAACCCAGTCCTGGAAAGAAGGACATTATTTTTTGAGGTATTTCTACTTTACTTATTTATAGTTTATGCTATGACAGAATTTATCAGAAGAAAATATTGTGTTGTTTACTGTCCCTACAAGTTACTGCACATATTTAGATTTTACATATAAAATGATGAGTTTATAAACTGTGATATTGTTATACATTATGTAAAACCACTAACTCAGCTACAACAAAATAACGATGCATTCAAATATTGCATCCAATATAAAGCAGGTATTCTACATAATGAGTACTTTTACTTTTGATATTTTAGGTTGTTTCTAAAATGTCTGTACTTTTACATCAGTAAATATTTGAATGCAGAACCTGAATCTGACAGCTTTTGTATAGACTTTCAGACAAACTCTTGGTTCACCTCAACTTCCAGTTACCTGTGACTGCTCTAGTTATTATGTAACAATATTATGAGGCAAACTATCACAGCGTCAGGTTTACAATAAGCTGAACAACTGGTACTTTCTCTCTTCCCTGGCTTGATATGAAAGGCTTGTTACTGAATTATTACAAGGCAAAGGATCAGGACAGTAGCTGCAGCTGTGAGGACATTGAGTTCAACTCCTCCTTATTTTTTCTGGGAATTTGTGGTTTTAGCAGCTTTTACATTCTACAATTAAAAACGAACAAATAGTGGCTATTTTATGGGTAATATTGTTATTTTAAGACTGAATGTTTCAATTTGATTAGTTGTAGGCCAACATGAAAGCACTTATGCCTTCATGTAATCAATTATAATTTACAGAAAACATTTAACAGTTAATTTAATATCAACTAAAAATCTAAATAATAATAAAAAATAATAAAAGAGCTTCTTTTTGGTGTTTGGAGGCGAAGAGGTGCATCAGGGAGGATTCGTGTTGTTTCCTAAAATCTTGCTATGGCCCTGTAAAGGATGTAACCTGAGTATAAGTTTTCACTCACCAATAACAACCAATAATGATAATAACTATTTTGTAAATCGTAATTTACAGCCGTCAGGTTTCAGCACCGGACAGTTCCCACCTGCTGCGCGCTCCTCGGCCACAGGTGTTGCTGACTAATTAAATGGCAGGAGATAGAAAACCCAGCTTTGTGGTGAGGGATTTCTATTTGAATTTTACATATATGCTTTATCTACATTTACTCCCTTTCTGCCCCCCTTCTCCCCCCTCACTCAGGGTAATCCCGGTCCACTGGTGAACTGGTAATGCCCCCTGCGAGATAAAGTCACCAACAGGACTTCAATCTGGGGCATCGCAGGATTTGCTCCGTGGATGAAGCGACGACCATGGGATTAAATGCAAAATCGACATCCCCAGATCAGTGACAGCCGAGATTGAGATTGAAATCATCATCATTTCCACACGCACAAATATTAAGAAGAATTGCGAGCTTGAGTTGCTATTTGCTAAATGTCTACCAAAACATAGGCTTTTGAAATAAGCTCTTTATACAATGTTTTTTCATTAGATGGCTTAAATCCATTGCCTGATGACTTTAGGTGAGGTTGGAGTCCAAAACTTCAGGGTTGTGCCAAAATGCAGGTTTGTAAAAAAACCAAAAAAACAAACAAAATAAATAAATAAATAACGATTTATCCTAAACAAAAAATAACAAATATGTCATATCAAGTCCTTCTGTGAACATAAATTAGCCTACTTTTTAATGAATTATGGAACATACCTGCGCTGATGTGTCCTGAGACCTCCTCGGTAAGTTTTACCAGATGATACGTTTGTTGTCTCGGTGTCTGTCTCTCTGTCCACTGTCTCACACACTCACTCAGTGGTGAAGTTCCGTGCTGTGTCCCTGCGCAGAGATGTCCCACAGACTCTCAGCGTGGGTCACTCTGCGGGGGCTCTTGGTTTTAACCTCCACGTTGAAGCTCCTCCTCCTCCTCCATCCAATTTCTGTTGACGCGCTCGAGCTCGCGCGTGGCCGGCCCGTGGCTCGAGCCCCCGGAGTTCCACTCGTCGCCTCTGCGTGTGTGTGTGTGTGTGTGTGTGTGTGTGTGTGTGTGTGTGTGTGTGTGTGTGTGGGGAGTGAGATGTGCCTAAGCCCACTGAAATACTCCAGACAAACAGGAGAGGCCCACTGGCCTTTGTTGCTCCGTGAGGGCGGCCGCCAAATCCGCTGCACGTTTGCATTGAACGGAGGAGGAGACGCGCTCAGTCGGCTGAGCCTAACTGTATGTGACAGCTTGAAGTTGCATGTGAGCAGGTGTTGGCTCCATCCCCTCTTCCAGCCATCCATCCCTCCGCACTGCGGAGACAGGCTGTTGAACAAGTTCATCTCACCCAGGAGGCAGCTCTGACCAGACGGGGTAAGGTTGGTCACATGAGGTGTGCAGTTAGAGCATCATCTTTGGGACTCTTTGATTGGCCACGTGTCTCTGCAGTAGAGGTCCATGCCTTCTGGATTAGCAGCTTGAATCACAATAACCCATACCGAATGTTCAAGCAGGGTTTCTAAGTATTTGTAAGTGATGGAAGAAGTGTGCTCACATCCTTCATTAAATAACGAAATTAAAAATATATATACGACTACTATATACAAGTATTGGTTCTGCATTAAACATATTACTTAGTGAAAAGCACTATCAACAAAATGTACCAGAAGTATCAAATCTCAATATGCTATTGCTTGATTTCACACTGTTATATTATTATGGATTATTATTATTGATAATTGATATTACTGATGCATCAGTGTGCAAACAGCATTTAAAAGTTAAACCACATATAAATGGTCATAATCTGTCTTTACCACGTGGCTCAGTGGTTAGTCACCTCACAACAAGAAGGTCCTGGGTTAATCAAAACATGTATATTACGTTAATTCTCCAGTCACTGCCCTTGACCAAGGCCAAATGGAGTTGGTCCCCGGACGCTGTACAGTGGCTGCCAATTGTACTTATGGATTAAATGCAGAGGACATATTTCACTATACGTTGTACTGTTTATGATTGTATATATGACAATAAAGTTAAACCATAATGTTCTGTTCCTCCTCAAAACCCACCTCTACAGGCAAGCCTTTTTATAGATCTCCTTGTTTGCTTTCTCATCTGTTGTCTCTCTTTTGATTTATCCTTCCCTCTTGTTTTATCTTCCTTATGTTTGTATTTACATGCTCCCAATGTATGTTGGATTGGGTATGGTTATACCCATATGTATGTTTGTTGTTTGTAAAGCACTTTGGACCTCTGTGTCAAAAAGGTGCTATACAAATAAAGCTTTACTTACTTACTTACTTACTTACTTCTGTGACAGAGAAGTCAACAAGATTTTTAACGCTCATCATAGCAAACAGAAACAGTGCACCACATGCTCTAACAGAGAGGCTTGAGGTAGGTTACAAGGTAATCTGCACACCCAAATTATGTGCTTCTCATTCCCAGGCCGCCCACCTTGCCCACTGCTCCTCCCCCTGGGTCTCTGCCTTTCCTATTCCACACCTGCAGCCTGAAATGGGAATAGCAGAGCCAGGCCTCTTGCATCCCCAGAGTGGAACCAGCAGGGGAATATGATAGCTGAGTCCTTGTGTCCCCATTGCACGCACGCATAGCACATACTAAAATACTAGAATGAATTAGAATTTTTTGATTTGTGTTATTGCAACCTTTTAAATACATCTGTCATTACAATGCTGCTCTTTTTTTATTCCTTTAATACTTTTTTTTTCAGTTTGACCCACTTCCTGTATACCATTCAGTCTTCATGTTCCACAAGTGGTACTCAAGTGTAATGCCGTATGTATGCCATAATGTCCCCAGGTCCCTCAGTGCTGTCAACACATGACGAAGTCCTGCTGCAGATGGTCTTCTCTTAAACATACCTCTTATTTTAACAGTCTGTGCCTCAGATGCTCATCTATTCTCCACTGGCTGCTCAGCTCACTCAGCATGTTCCCATTGCCCAGAGGACACTGCCTCCTGCATCCTTTCTAGGTATGTTTGTGAGATATGAATTGAGTTAATATGAAGGACAGATAAAACTTCACTCCAATACACACACAAACATGACCTTCCTCTGAGTCCCCAGAGTTTCTATGTGACAGTGAGGGAAAATGGGTTTTATCCATCTGTCATGATGGAAGTCCTCAGAGAGATACCAATGCCACAGCATGACACAGTGTGTGCATGTTAGTGTGTGTGTGTGTGTGTGTGTGTGTGTGTGTGTTTGTATGTGTTCATGTTTAGAAAAGTAGGTAAACTGTATCTGCAGTGATCAAAATCCTTTTCCTTCCCTACAATTATACAATTAACAGTGGCATTGGATATACTTTTACTGCCGCAATATAAGAGGCTGACTCAAGCGGACCAATATATATCTACCTTCGGCATATGTCTGTGTCCACTTCAGAATGTATAAGAGAGGCTAGAGAGGTAAGAGCAATGACAATACGGTCATCAAATTGTTTGGAAAGCATACAAAAAACTCCAGAGAATGAACGTTGCTCTGTATTTCATGGTCCCCCATCAACTTTAGAAATGGCCAGCATCTAAGCCAAACTTGAACCTCCCTCCAGCCCAGCACCGACCCTGGGGAGACAGGGGTGATGTTGACCATGTGTCCTCCTACTAACCATCTCATTGATGGACCCCACAACTGGGTAGAATAAACACCCCCCTCTGCCTGAACCCCTAAACCCCCTTAACCCTTCCCTAAACCCTCGGTTGGCCCCCTGTTGTGCGTGCTCATTGGCTGACCGCCTTCAGGCGTCCCTTTTCCACGGGTCCATTGTCTGGCCCCATAAGCAGCTTTGTTTCTGCATGTGCAGCTGGGCTAGCCCGCGCAGCCATTAGCCACAACACGCTAAAGGGAGAGCGGGATAATATAATTACAAAACAAAAGTCAGGTGGCTCACGAGATCTGCCAGGAGGACCCTGTTTGGGGGAGATGCGAGGACACGCTGGCGGGTGGCCAGCTATAATTCGATTATGAAGTTGTGTGAGTGACAAAAGAAACAATTGAATCTTTTTTTCTTTTATTTGCCCCACTGTGATTTAATTTGATTCCACTGGGGCTTTAAAAAGAGGCCAGTGTGAAAAGGGAGAAGATTTACTCTTCTAATTTCTAGAGTCACCAGCTCAGAAAATGTAATATGGTCTTACAAAACAGCAAATTCTTCCCTGGGCCAGCTTTATTGTCATGTTGCTGCAACACTTTGACTGCATGTGAGGCCCAAATCAAATGAATGGCTGAAGGCCACAGTTTTCCTGAGACCTGACTGGTCTTGTGCTTTTGTTTTGCATGAATGCACAGAGACTGGTGGACAATGGGATCAGTGGCAGATCCATCTCCTGTAATACTTTCTTCAAACAGGGCTGCAAGTGTGTCCCCCTGTTCAGTCGGCAGACCAGAATTTATCCTGTTAGTCACCCTAGATGAGTGAAAGAGTAAAATCAACCCCCATCCCAGCTGGACACACACGCACACACACACATACACACTTAACCCCACACTGGGGAGTCGCGCACAGCTTTATGGACAGCTGATAAGAACAGGTTTAGCTGGTGGCTACTGTTTGAAGCAGGTCAAGCAGAACAGGATCTGTTAATGTCTTTTTGTTTCTGTGGTTCATACTGCAAAAGACTGCATTTTGTTTTTTGTTTTGCTGTTTTATGAGACAATAAGCAATTGTGTCAGATGCACACATGCTCTTACTACTGAAGGGTTGGTGTCAGTATTGTGCCCACTCAGGGTGTGTAAACGCCCATTTTTTGCCCCATTAGGCACAGTTTGATCATGCCCCTGGGAGAGTGCCACATTCTCTTGCTCTGTAAGACTGCTCGGAAAGGTTACACAGCAGATTAATCCACTGTCTGGTTTACTGTTTTACTAATGCACGCGTCAGAGAGGACCACTTAGAAGATATATTCTTTTTTCACATTATTTCAGACTGCTTTATTGAAATATGAATGACAACAAGCTTGTTGCTTCTTGTGATACCTCTATGTCACCTCATATTTCTTAACTTTTAAACAGAATTTTGAAGTTTAATTGCATTTTTCAAAATGTTTCTAATGAAACAAAAGCAGCCGCGTCCGTGAGTTGCTTATAGTTGGACAGAGCGGCTTCAGCTCCTGGGGGTTGCAGGAAAGGCAGAACCGATGAACTTCTTCCCATCACCATAGAAAGAATTATCCCAGGTGTAAGTTTGGATAATGAGCTCTTTCCCTCCCAGGCTCAGACGACACCTGCGGATGAGGGACAATAAAAGATCTATATCAGAAAAGATTCACATGCGAGAAAACATTCCAGGACATGTAGATATACTCACTGTTTTCCAGGGCGAGTGATGTAGCAGAGGCTGTATAAGGCAAAGTCAAATTCAGGGCTGCAGCCAATGACTGCAGAACCGACCTGCTTGAAGTACCCCTCCCACATGAACTGCATCCCCATGACATCAGGGTAAGTGGTCCACTGGGAGCAGGTGAAAGAAAAAAAAGAGAGAAAATAAAGTCAGCGCTGCACATGTCACAGTATAAATCAACATACTGAGGTCTGTATGTTGGATGCTTACAGGCCCGTTGAAGCTGTGGCTGTAGTAGTTCAGCTGTCCTCTTTTCTCGAGAAGATAAAACTGGATCCAGTTGTGGAAACCAGACACCTTTCCTCCCTTGATTTCTCCTATTACAGAATGTGTTTCTTAATAATCAAAAAGAAAGAATATTTGCAAACCATTTATGGTGTTAGAAAGAAATCTGCTCGGTCCGCACCTGCAAAGATGTGTTCAAAGCCACTGGAGTCCATCTTCTTGTTGTTGCGAGAGTACAAACCAAACCACATCATCTTTAGGTCGTGAATGAACTCTTCCTCTGTTCCATAGATGCCTAAATATTCAGAATAACATACACTTTAAACATTAGAGCAGAGGTTGGACAGACAGGAGGCAAATATATGTTCACAGTGCATGCCTTAGTGCTCATTTCTGATGTATTGCTCAGATTGGAGTTTTATGTTTGGCATACTTTTAATGATGCCAACTTGATTTTATAGTCTTATATTTTCTATTTTATTTTGTTAATACTCTTATATTGGCATCCTTATTGTACTTGTACACTCTCTGCACTACATTCCCCTATGCTGCTGTGTCTGACTTGAATTTCTCCTACGGGGGATCAATAAAGGTACATCTTATCTTATTATGGGAACTGAAGTTCCAAAACAGTGAGTGACAAAATCCATTAATATGAACTTTTTTCATGTTGCACCATGAATATTTTTTTCCCCACAAATTGATGTCCTAATTGTGTCTGAAGGGCGCCCACAAGTAAAGCACTAGCATTACCGAGCTCTGAGTAGTGCTGAACCTGTGTCAGGATGTACTATCACATGTGGACCCAGTTACCCTTGGTGTAGAGGAAAGCAAACAGCTCTCTGCCCAGCTCAGTGTTGGACATGGTCTCCTTGACGAAGGCTTCCTGCTCAGCCAGCTGCTGAGGACTGAAGTCCTCTGTCTGTCCAGTCATCCTGTGGTAGTTGTCCAGCACAGCCAGGAGAGCAGCGTAGGTGGGTCTGGAGAACAGAGTCTCCTCATCCAGATATCGGAACAAGCTGGAAGCACAAACACAAAACACTGAATGACACAGAAAAAAGGGGACAAATACATCAAGAAGTGAAGAACATTAAAGAGAGAGCTGTGCTGATAAAAACGGTCTCCTCACAGTCCAGGGGAGAGATCTGACTGGGAGCTGGTCTGAGAGTTGGGCACCAGAGCCTGAGGGTCAATGACCAACTGTGAGGCTGAAGCCTTGTTTGAATCCAGAGCATAGAGTGTCTCAGAGAGAGACTTGATCTCAGCATCAGTGATCACACCACCACCACCACCTCCTCCATCACCTGCAGATCATCGCACACACACACACACACACACACACACACACACACACACACACACACACACACGAAACACACGCACACACAGACAGCCAGTGGTTAAGTACAGATTTGAGGTACTTGTGTAATTGCTTCCATTTAATGCTGCTCCACAACATTTCAAGGGAGAATACTGTACTGTTTACTCCCCGACATTTACTTTACACCTATAAGTTACTTTTCAGATTAAGATTTTAAATATCGAAACAAACAGGCTGTATAATCAATAGACTTTATAAATACAAACTGATGATTAGACGATATAATAGATTGTTAAATATGTACAGTATTGTTAAACATCACTACAGTATATAAAAATGTTCAACTAAGCTCCTCCTCAACCAGAAACATTAAAATGTGTTTTTTGAGCAGTAGTAACATAACATTACATATACATAATAATAACATAAAAATAACACAAAGCACCCTGTTCTCCTAATGAGCATTTTCATCTTTGTTTTCATGCTTCAGGTAATTTCATTTTACTTGTAATGGAGTATTGTAATTGCAGTATTATTACTTTTACTTTAAGTAAATCTGAATACTTCTTCCAACATTGGGTATTATTACTCTAGAAGGGGATATGTTGAGGGAAAAGTAAACTCTTTTTGCTTTCAATGTGTTGTAAAGCACAACAGTGACACCCACTGGTCATATACTGAAAGAAGACCAAGAGAGGCCACACCAGCCAACAGTGTGAAAGACGCATTCAGGTCCTTTTTAAGTACAGATACCTCAATATAAAAATGCTTTATTACAAGTAAAAGTTAAAATCTTAAGTAAAGGTAAAGACGTATTGTCTGCAAAATGTGCTTTAGTATGCAGAAAATCAGCCCCTGTGATTGCTTTTTAAATATATTATTAAATTAAATTATATTATTATTAGACATTATTAATATTGATGCAATAGTGTGTAAAGAGCCATTTACTGTTAGTCGAGTTGGAGATAGTTTTAACTGCTTCATATACAGTTACGTAGTAGAACCAGTGGTTCCCAACCTCGGGGTTAGGCTCCTCAGAAGGATCAAAAGCTAAATCTGAGTGGTCATGAGATGATTAATTTGAGGGGAACAAAGAAAAAAGAAAGTTTTGATACACAGTTTGTGTTCACTGTTCTCTATGTATTTTGTGAAAACTGAGCTTTTTTTTTATGCCGTGGGGCTCAATGTTTGCTGACTTAGATTCATGTGAAAGTGACCAGGTGCCAGAAGTAGCTGTTGAGGAAGGAGCAACACAAACAGATAGAAACTAGCTGACTAACAGTGGTTACTGTGTGGCACGTGAGACGGTGTCAGCTACAGGTGACACATGTTTGGTCTTACTGTCACAGAGGTCTGCAAAGTCGCTGCAGCAGTTATTGTACTGGGCGCACTTGGAGTTGCAGTGGCACTCGTTCTGAGAGTTGTATTTCTCACCACATCTGCCTTTACAAGATGTGGCTCCAGCTAGAAAGAAAGGAAACACACTTGTCGTGAGGCAAGGTATACATTGATAAATTAAAGGTTTTCTACGTAAGAGTCTGCTGTTGTCACTCACCTTTACATATTTCAACGTAGTCGTTGCAACAGTCGCTGTAGCGCTCACAGGATGGATTACACTGACAGGAGAAACTATTGTCTGTTCCATAACCACAACGACCCTGACATGTGTCCAGGGAGTCTGAGAATCAATAGGAGAGATTGGTATCACCGCAGCAGCCTAATAACAAATAATAGGTTATGGTGATAGTAGAGCAGAAGCAATGTCTTACTGCTGTATCCCTGGTAGAACAGGGTCGCCCAAAGTGCTAGAACAGCAATGACCTTCATCTTGGTTCAGCTGCAACCTGAAAACAAGGTGTAATGACTGTTATCATGGTCTCCCTTTTATAGCAAGTTTCACCTGACCAATCCAAATGCAGCACTCGCACTAACCCAGCCCATAAGTCAGGATGTCAGTGCCTTCATCGGGACTGTGTCTCTTGAATAAAATGTGCTGTCAGATGTGACATTTTAACTTCTTAATTTTAAGCTGTTGTTCATAGTTAGCATTTGTAAAGGACTGATGGTTGGCATGTTGTAGAGGATGACAAGATAAGATTTTAAAAAAGGGCTATTAAAGAATAAAAATAAAAAAGGGGGAATACAGTTTCTCTATATCTCTTCTCTGTGAAACTGCACACCTGCTCAGGACACAGGCGGTGCTTTGATGTATCAGAATTAGACCATATCAAGATGTGAGCTGTGATAAAGATGTTGATGTTGTTAGTCTTTACATTATAATAAATATAAATTGTATTAAGTTAAGACTATTAAGTTAAATGTCTCTTTTAGCCTGTTGTATTTTAAGGCTATGTTGTCCAGTACAAAATAAAATGTATAAAAAATACATTTCCACAGGATGGCCCTGTCTTATTTCTCCGGCCAGAGGGACCAGATGTTGTATTTCACAGGGTTTATCTAAGAAAGCTCAGAATACTTAGAATAGCTCACCTCCCTCAGTGTCCCTGATCATGTTGCGGTCACATGCTCCCACTGCAAATACCACACAGCGAAGATGCACTTAAATGCTTTAAGTTATGCATAGAGATACTTTAAAATGTTAATTTATATTCTGAAGCTTTCAGGTGTTTTCCAACAGACAATGTTAAAACACTTTTATTTAGCATGGCAGCATTGGAGTCTCTCTTGGAAACTGCTGTATTTCTACAGAGCAGTTTAAATCACTACATGTCCTCTATAATCATAAATCAAATTATAGCAATTTCTTGCCCTCAGACTGTTTATAGTTCAGCTTTCACTAGTGAGTTGGGAAAAACGGAGAAAGTAGGACACCACTTATGTGTTGTTGATAACATCCAATACTTACTGTTGTAAGATAAAGTTAATTTGTAAAAGATTACAATTAGAAATGTTTAGTAAGTATTTTTATGGTTGTAATATAGTAATATAGAGGTGGAGTACTAATACCACACAGTGAAAATAATGAAATTGTTACTTAAGTAAAAGTAGGTCAATATAGTCTATCGAATGAACTTAAAGTATTAAAGTAGTAAAGGTACTCAAGATAAGATAAACAGATACAATAGATTATTATTACTCATACAGTATGTAAATGCAGGATCACATCGTTGTCATTGGTTGAGGTGGAGCTCATTTTGAACTATTTTGTAAAGGACTGTGACTAATGATGATTTTCATTATGAATTAATGTGCTGAATATTTTTCTATTAATCGACTGATTATTTGTTTATTGGTAAAGAATTCTTATTATATCATGAGAATTACCATCACAATTACACAAAGTGACACATTCACAATGCTTTGATATGTCCAAACTATTGTACAAACCTTAAAATTATATAAATAATTAAAAGGAAAAACAAGAAATCAAAATAGTTGCCAATTCATTTTCTATCAGTTGATTAATCCACTAATCTTTTCAGCTGTACTTAAATAAATAATATATAAATAATAGATGAAGGAACTAGTGACTGAAGCTGTCAAACAAATGCAGTGGAGTGAAATGCCTCTGAAATGTTGCAGCATAAAATGGTTGAAGGATCAAGTAAGATATATTTTGACCAGGTCTAAAGTCTTTATTTAGACTTTTGCACTTTTAATAATTTTTATGATCATAAAGACTGATGAGGTCAGAATCATGTAATCAATTGACAGAATATCAATATGTACTATTTTAATATTGCTTCAATCTCTGAGGTGAAGGCAGTTCCCTGTACTGGGTTTCTAAAACGCAGCTGTACTCCCGGACTGTAGAGGGCGCTGACCGGTAAAACGACCTTTACTCAGACTCTTTTGGCCCTACGCGGCTTCCTTACACAGCGTGGATGTCAATGACATTCTGAGCTTTTATAAGTCAGTGCACTTCTACAGACTGTGAAGATGTCTTTACCCCTCTTATTCAGAACAATTAGAAGAGACATTGCAAAGGTGAGCACATTAAACTTTACAGTCAGTCACGTTTTTAACATTTTAACATTTTAACTGAAGCTCGAGCTGGTTTATTAGTTTCCTTATTGTCAGATTGACCAGCCAGCGTTACTGGCTCAGTTTCATTGAGTTACCTCCATCCTGTCAGTAGTTCATTCACTCTTATTTAATGTTGAATAGATATTGAGGATGCATATATATATGTGTGTATTTATGTGAATATTTAAATGACATTTGTTGTGACACATCCGAATGTGTACCACTGGGTTTTTGAAAGTTGCATTATACTCTGTATCTTCCACCTTCTCCCATCTGTCACCCTCAGGTGAGCGTTTGCCAGCATGTACAGTCGTTGCACACAGGTTGTCAGCTGCTGGCAGCTGAGAAAGCCCTCCTGATGAAACTACGGAAAAGCACCGGCTACACTTTCACTAACTGCAAGAAAGCCCTGGAGAAGTTTGATAATGACATAGCACAGGTGAAGCCCCTTTCTCAGTCACAGTATATCTGCAGCTTTGGTGCCTGATACGACTGGCTGTGTGACTGTGTGTTTTTGATATGATCTTCCAGGCAGAGACCTGGCTACACGAGCAGGCCCAGAAGGAGGGCTGGATCAAAGCAAACAAGCTGGAGGGTCGTAGGGCCAAAGAGGGTCTGATTGGTCTGTTTATAGGAGATAAAGATGCAGTTATGGTGGAGGTGAGGCCAGTTGGATTATTAGTATTTTAGTTGATTGTTTTCCAGTTTGTTGGCCATGAGCAATATCTGTTGTCTTCCTTCTTGTCTGTTTGATGCAGGTTAACTGTGAGACAGACTTTGTTGCTCGCAATGAGAAGTTCCAGCAGCTGGTTAAGGATGTGGTGTTTGCCACCTTGGCTCACCACCAGAGTAAAGGCCAAAGCAAGGCGGGATATGTGAAGGTAAAGACATGAGTTGTACTGGATCTGGAACTGGAAAGTCCCATAATCTGATTCATTTTTTAAAAATACATTTGCAAATAGACCCATGGCTCATGGGATGTTCACAAACATTATTAATATGAGCTGGATGAGCTAATTTACTGAAACTGGTTTAAACAGAACTTTTGATCTTGAAAATGTTACTACAAAATATGTCTTAATAGAAGAAGTAATAATTGCAGAAACAAATACTGTACATGAATAAACACTTAAAATGTTCTCATATTTGTTTACAAATACATGTTAGTGTGTTATAAACTATTTGTTTCACATTTATATACTACATATACATATTATATGTTACATTTTAATATGTTTAACCTTGTAGCACAAAGTGAGGTGATGGAGGTCATGTAAAAATTAAACTAAAGAGTATGATTCTATGGAGGATTCTTAAAATATTACAATGTAGAGCTGTACGCCTTGTTTATGTATCGTTGGACTTTAAATGGCTTTTCCACCGTTTTTCAAGTAGGAGGTCTGAGGTTAACTAACTAGCTAACTATGCAGTTAGACTTCTAGAGGTTGATGTTGGTAGGAAAGAATATACTACAACCGTATTTTTGCTGTGATTCTGCTAACATACCACATTTGTTTTCAGAGTATCCTGGCAGGTGAGGAGTTGAGCAAACTCAGTGTGGAAGGAACTTCACTTGCTGACAAGGTGGCCCTCACAATAGGTAAGTAAGAATTTTTTATATACATATAATATCAACCAATCATCATGGCACAAGCAGCACAAGTCTTACCTTAAAGTGGCTATTATGGATATTTCTATAATAATATAATGTGTCACAATGTGAAAACAATGGTACAATGTGAAAGGGGTGGCTGCTGGTGATGATCCTTTAGCTCATTGTTTAGCTGTCTGGCCCACAACTTGTTTTGGTTCTCAATCACTGCTCTCATGGGGTTGTTTTTGGCTGCAGCAGGCAGCTGTTTTCAGAAGAAAGGGTCTAAACCAAACAGCATGTGGACACAGTTAGAGAGTATCTGGTGAACATAGAGGAACATATAACAGTGAGAGACAGGTATTTCCCTCAGGAGTTAAAGAGAGTAAGTATTTACTCTGCTCCCCCTTGTGTTTTTGGTTGGTGGCCCTGCCCTCTTATTTAAGGAAGGCTTGGGGGCTGGCTCATCAGTTAGCGTTTGCACCTTATTTTTGTGTTTTATTCTTTGAGGATGGACGTCTGTCCAATTTTCGGTTCATTGTTACTTAAGTTACAATGTTTTGATAGTTTAGATGGGGAAGTTCTGGGTCCTATGGCTCAATGTGTGGCTGACCCAGACTTCCTCCGTCCATTTGTTCTTTTGGCCAGACCTCCAGACTTCCATAGTTTTTGTTATTTAATGGCCTTAACGGTTGAGTCATTATGTTTGTCTTTCTTTTGTTTTTTTGTGTGGGCACAAATGAGATTTCACTTAAAAGGTTCTATGTCAGTGTTGTTTTCACTGACCCAGTGGTCAAAAAGATCAGTTATTGCTGGTTTATTAATAGACAGGTTGAAAACACTGATAATACAAATACTGATATTCTTTAAATTTTAGATTATCTTAGATTTAAAAATAAATCAAATATGATATAATATCAACCAATGCCATGTGGTATTCAGGGTGTACAAGTTGTTGTCACAGCAAATAGTTGACTTTAGAAAGAAGGGTTAAATGAACCATTCAGATCTGAAAATGAATTCTTTACTTTCTTTAAAATGAAGCACATTTTGTGAGTTTTTGTTACCATTCATTGATAAAAACTGTTTCCTTCTTTCTTCTCAGGTCGCCTCGGTGAGAACATGTCAGTGAAGCAGGCAGTGACAGTGGGCGTTCCTGCTGAGTGGCAGATCGGCTCGTATGTACACGGTGGTGTGAGCGGACAGACCGAGGTGCCCATGGGTCGGTACGGCGCTCTGGTTGTATTTCAGGGTGGAAAGGAGGGAGAGCAGGAAGTTCTGGGACGTAAGCTGGGACAGCACATAGTGGGAGAGGCCCCTGTGTCCCTGGGCAATATGGATGACCTGCCCTGTGGGGAAAGTGAGACACGCCTGCTGCCTCAGACCTTCCTGGGAGACTCCAGCAAGACTGTGGCACAGTTCCTCAGGGGTCAACAGGCTCGAGTGCTGGACTTTGTCCGATTTCAATGTGGCGAGAAAGCCAGTGAAGAAGCAGAATGAAGGGAGGGAAATAATTTATCTAAATGATTCATTGTGTGTCTTTATTTGATATGAAGATGAAACGCAATTACCCATTTATTCTGTAACATTCAGACGGTCACACAGTGTCATTCATGAGTTTGATATGCAGGCCTGCTTGTTTCATATTGGTGATGAAATTGCCCATCCAACAATAAATGTTTTTTTTCTTGAGATCTTGGTCCATATTAATTTGTTCACGCTACTAACAATGTTTTTATTCTAAGATCCACATAAACATCCCCTTAATCAGGTAACCCACTACAAAGGGTATCTACTGTCTCCAGTTTCTTTTGTTTATTATGTTTTTTCTTAGTTCCTTTCATCCTTGCATGTGATTACACATTAACATATGAGGACATTTTTATGTCTGGGACTGTTTCCAACCTGATAATGCATTCTTGAAAGATGTGTGCAAGGAAAAAAAATATATTTTTAACAAAACACAGCCAAGAACCTACCCACTTACAAAATCAGCTGTTCCAAGTTGAAAGCATGGGAGATATCCAGCACATTACTGGCTATTTTTAGGGTTTTAAAGGGTGTCATAAGGTCTGAAGGAGTGAAAGTAATCAATACGGCTACTTGAAGTAAAGATGGTGATGAGTCAAGGCTTCTGGCTTGTTTGGTTCCTTTTATATGCTTAGAAAATTACCAACACTGTCGTTTAGTGTAATTGTACATCAATGAATCTGTTGATTGTAGATTCCTCTGATTGTCTTGTCCAAACAATAACCAATCAATATAAGATATTGCTTTTCAATCAATGGAATTGAGCTATAACTGATATGTTCAAGGTCCCACAAAAATTAGTCAATGGATCAATTATAATTAGAAGCCTATTTATGAATTGATCCGAAACACGGAGGAGGAGGAGGAGGAGGAGGGGGGAGGGGGGGCGTGGCATAAAGCTGCGCCCCCCTGCACAAACCGAGGCCTGTGATTGGCTGTTGCTATACAAGCTGCGGTGACATCATCAGTGATGTACCGGTGTCCTCGGAGCTGAGAGAAGATACCAGACCCTCGGCCGGCTGTCATCCGACAACCAAACACAGACATGGTGAGTAAAGACACTGTTGAACGTATCGAAATAGCTGCAGTTGGTAGATTTTCAACAAGCAGCACTGCCTTGTTCTTTGTTTGTGGATTTTAAATAGCATTTTAACCCAGTGAGCGTTAAGCTAGCTGCGCACCTCTCCTGGCCTGCTGCTCTCATTGTAGCTAGCTTTAACGTTAAGCCTTTATCCACAATCCTTTTCTTCACTGCAAATGGAGCATTGATCACACTAATGCCGGTCTGTTGTCCGTCTGCCTCATCTAACTGTTCTCCCCCTGTGTAACCATGCCTCGACCAGTCTGACTTCACAGAGGACCAGATCATGGGTGAGTTACATCTCATTAGCAAAAGGGAGATTTCCTTCTTTTCTTTTCTTTTTTTAATGGTTGACATCATATCATCCTTTATAGACTCATGTGAAACAGCTTTACGAATTTGTTATTATGATCCTGTAGCTCGACTGTCTCTACAATCTACTAGATGCCTCCAGGTAACTGAGACAGGCTGAGCTGAGCTCAACATTTGCTGTGGTGTGTTTAGTGCTTGTCACGACTTACACTGGACAAATACTCAAATACTCAGTGCTCGACTAACCTGCAGAAAAAAAGAAGCTATTTGCTAAAGCATGCTGGTGGTTTTTTTGCATGCTGATGCAGAAATTTACAATTCAAATGTCTGACATGTCAGAGTCATAATAAAGAGAGTTTGTGTGTTAAGCAGAGCAGTGTATGGGTCAGGGTGTACCTTAAAGGCGTGGCAGAGGACACTGAAACTATTCTTTTGTGGCATTCACTCTGTTAAACAGCTACAGATTGTTGGAACAGATAGTATACATTGATTGTAGGACACCAGGAACCTTGTAGCGTTGTTTAACTTGACACAAAGTTTTGTTGGAGTTAGTGGCAGTCTGTGGTTTTAAGGATAGTATTTCCTCCGACAACCCCAACCCCCCACACACAGACACTCACAAGAATTCCTGCAGGTGAAGGTTTAAACAAAACACATCATTCAGACTGCGTTTGTTTCTCAAGTAATGCAAAGGCCAGAGAAGCAATACATTTTATTATTAAAGGCTGCTAATGTACTATCAGGTAGGGAAGAGCCATTATGTGTCATTATTTATGAAGTGAATGCATTATCAATAGGCTACAGTAATTGAATAAGAACCTTTGTTCAAGTCAGATGTGGGACTGATTAATTTATCAATACTGTAAACAAGACTATTGATCTTTGGGCAACGTATTCCCCTCTGGAGGTTATCACACATCATTTTTCCTTTCATTATACTGTATATGAGCATGTATATAATAAGGCAGGTGCAGTTAGTGGCTTTAGTAAATATCTCCTTTACACAAAGTGAGTTTTTTATCACAACAGTATCAGCTGATGCCTACTCAGCAGTGTTGGTAACTGCTCCATGCAGATACTTAATTGCATGTGTCTACTGTCAAAACAACTTATTTGTAGCAGCTGTTCTTCTACACAAATGACTATGTTCAATAACGTTACACTTGTCTGAGTAATGCTTGTTAACCTAAAGCACTGCACAGCTAAATCTGAGTTCTACCTCTCTGTCTCACAGAGTTCAAGGAGGCCTTCCTTTTGTTTGACCGGACGGGTGAGGGGAAGATCACCTACAGCCAGTGTGGGGATGTCATGCGGGCCCTTGGACAGAACCCTGTCAATGCTGAGGTGCTCAAGGTCTTGGGAAACCCCAAGTTAGAAGGCAAGCCACTGATTTACCAGTCAGAATAGACCAATTTACCATACTACATTATAATTGCCCCTTAGGTTGGGTGTTGTGTCTACAATTATAATCCCTCTCTTGCTTTCTGGCTGAGTTGGTGTACAGATATAATCATACAGAGCATTTCTTTTAGTAATGATGACCCCTAAAAGCCTGCAAGTCCTCTAATATGTGCATCTAATGTTAATGTTAGTAATTGGTATGTATTAAGCTGTGTTGAATGTGTAAAAATTACTATTTGTTTCAAATCAGTGAAAATATTCAGATTTGTACAAACATGAGTCTATATATAAGTTCATTTTTTAAACTAGATATCAATTTGTGTGTTTGATGGGAGGATAAAAGTATACAGAGAGGGATTCCTGCCTGACCAAAAACATGGTTTTGCACAAACTGCATGTTGTAATGTTACACCGTGTTATTAACTCGTCATTAAATTCGAGTGAGCAAACTGTTCGGGAAGAATAAATAAACTTGACGACAGTTTACACTCAGCAAATGGGAACGAAAATCCTGTGCAAGCTTCCTGATATCCTCTCAAATCTGCCCCATTTCATTACAGTTCTGGATGTGTTCAGAGTAATACAAATAAATAAATAAATGTTTGTTTTTAATTCACCTGCAGAGATGAACCACAAGATGTTGGATTTTGAGCAGTTCCTGCCCATGCTTCAGGCCATTGCTAAGAACAAGGACCAGGGCTCATTTGAGGATATCGTAGAGGGTCTGCGTGTCTTTGACAAAGAGGGCAATGGTACAGTGATGGGAGCAGAGCTACGTCATGTTCTCACTACACTAGGCAAGTCCACAAAAACATGCAAAACACAAAGATTTGTCATTAATCCTTATCTAGTAATCACAGCTGACCTTTGTCTTCCTATCATGCATATCTTAAGTTAAATCCCTTCAGGCCGTTATCTGTACCAGGAACAATGTAAACATGTGTGCTGTCTCCTCTGTCAGCAGTCTTAATACTTAGTGATTGTTCTTTGTGTTGCAGGCGAGAAAATGACAGAGGAGGAGGTGGAGACCCTTTTAGCGGGGCATGAAGACGCCAATGGCTGCATTAACTATGAAGGTAAAACCGCACAGTATGTGGAAAGATGTACCCAGAAAGCTAAACAACAGTATCAAGCACTGTGCTGTGACACTACTGTTGTTGATGTAGAAAACAGCAAGAGTCAGCAAGCGTCAACAAGAGTCATTGTGTCTTTGTGTGGCATGCTCACTGACTAAGTGTTCCCGTCTCAAAGCATTTGTTCGACACAACATGTAGAGTATGAGCAGACGGCCCTCCTCACTACTGATCTCAGACAGACCCTAACAGCTCAGAAGCTGACTGCTGCACAGGGGCCTCACCTTCATCTAGATAGCGACTGAAGAGGGGAGACCGTTCGTACACGTCTGAACATGAGGTGGCAGTGCAGTGTTGCAGTTGTAGTAACTTTCTTATAGACAAAAGATGGCTGGTTGAGTTCCATCAACATTAAGTCAGCTAGAGTCACTCACCCATGTGTCTTGTTAAAGGTGAAAGCCAAATGAGCAAAATAAAACACACCATTAAGCATAACCTGAACAGCGAATCAAACAATTGCCTTTGGAATTAGAAAACTTAAAACAAACATTCATAGTAGCCTCTGACTGGTGGTGCTGTTCTCTGATCTTTAATACTCTGACTTCTTTCCTGCTTTCATCTGACCTTCTTCAGATTTAATGCTGATGTTGTCTTCCTCCCTCTCTCTCGTGACAGAACTCGTCCGGATGGTGATGAGCGGTTGAAGATCTCAGAAACACACTTCCAGCTTTAATTTGATTTCCTAAATATTTTTGTATTGTTTGTCTCATCCTGCCCCTCCATCCGTGTCATCCTACCTCTAACAAGTCTGTGTTTTCTTTTTCTTTATTTTATTTCAAAAGTGCCTTTTCTGTCTAATGTGAAGAAACCTTTTCATCTCATTTTCCAAACATTATTCAGCCTCACAGGTACAATTGGCCGTAACGTTCCCCTGATGATTTCACCGGTTCCATCTTTGTCAGTCAGCCCGTCAGTCTTGTTGTCAACAGCTTTTTTTCATTTGGATGGATATGATGAGATTCATGTGACATGTTACATTTAACAGTATTGAATAAAAAGTTTGTGTCCAATGAGTCTTCTGCTTAAATCAAATACCCTATCTCTTTTTGGTTTATAGATCACATAAGAAAACATTAGATTAGAAAAAATATCAATATCAGTAAAATAGAAGAAAGGTATTATTAATATATCTGTAAAATATTGGAGAAATATTAGTAACATATTTTGTGAAATTATAGAAAGTGCCATTAAAATGTCTGGAAAATATTAGTAAAACAAGAAATCTAAAACTATCTATCAGTACAATATTTGGAAAACATTGATTGAAATGATTTAATTGTTATAATCATGAACGTTAAATGTGATGTCCTTTTATATCAAAGGAAAATTGCACTGATATGAGAAAATAAAACAGCAGACTTTACACATTAAACAAAAATTTGAATTATAAATTGTATAAAGAATAAAATTGGTCTCTATAAAGTAAATTAAATGTATTCTTTAAATACAGTGACTTAAATCTGTGATAAATAGTAATTAACAACTATTAGAATAATTGTGATGGCAGTTAAAGTCAATTTTAAATTATTTTGCAGGTTGTGTATGTTGCGACGCTGTGAGGATAAATTGAAACAGTCAAGTTTTGGGTCAAACAGCTAAACAAAGAGCTGAAACTCTGAAACTGAAACAGCTAAATGGAATTCAGCCATCATTAATGTTATTATTCACACCTGTGATTTCCCTTCTGTGATAACGAATGATCTGTTGATAGTACATCTACTGCAGGGAGCACAGCATGTCCAGAGCAAACCCTTGTAAAAATATACTAAAAGATAAGACTGAATTAGATTCCGCCTACACTCTGTAGTTTCATAACAAGAACAGTGTGATACACCTTTAAATCTCTGTTCTTCAGCATCCTGACAAACTCGTAATCCAGTTGATTAATCTGTAGATTTACCGTCTGGTGTTTGTGTTCCCAGTCTGTGAAGTTGTTGACGAAAAAACAAACCACTCTACACAACGACTCCTCTTCACATCTTTATTTTTTCCCCCAACATTTTGTAATTAAAACCTGAACCTCTTTTGTTTAGCCTTTTTCCAATACAAACTGCCAGAGTAACTGTCAGCACTAATGTGATGATTTACTGAGGAAAAAATTGATTTCTACTGTATAATAATAATCAATGCAACTGCTGCTACCTTCAGCATAGTGAAAAACACACAGAAACTGAACAGACACTTATTTCATATCACAAAATCCACACAATGTAGTAATAACAGATAAAAGAAGTCCATTTATGCTCACAGCTGTGGTGAGATCTGCAATACTGGCTTGACGGACATTGACTGTAAAGTTTCACCATCTGACTGGATTATATTTTATGACACCTGACTGTGCCGTTTGCAGAACGGAGCATGTTTTTTTTTTTTTGTTTTTTTTTAATTCTTCAAACTTTGTGACACAGCAAATGGCACTGAAAATAAAACTGAACGGTAATGTGGTTTACAGATCTTAATGGCATGCGTTCACATACACACATGCTCACAGTCACATCTCGGGCAGATCCGACTGACCTGCCCGAATCATACACAACAGTGGAGAGGGTAAATATAGGCTACAAAGGTAATAATATACAGTTACAATGTTGACATATCAAAGAAAGAAGATGGAAAAATGGACAGTAAAAAATAGAAAAATTGATAGGATTAAAAAGTGAGGATATTGTTGCAGATATTAAGGACACAATTCTCCATCGTCAGCTGTTTAAGGTGCGAGCTCCCTTGTTTTTTTGACAGCTTTAACATTTCTTCCATGAGTAACTTGAAATGCACCAGCGAAAAAACAAGCTGCTTAAAAAAAAATCCTCTTAATTTCCCAAGCAACCGCAATAAAACTCACTGAATAAATGTGAGATAAACATGATTATAAAAAACATTTTGGTTTAGCAATTAACACAAACTCAAATTATGGATAAAACACATATGTGGTCGCTGGTGGAATTCTTATTCCCAGACCTTTTTCAGTCATTCCCTCTGGACAAAACTACATTCCTCACAAAACTACAACCTGGATGCTTTGAGTTCATCCAGACTTGCAAAACATGAAGCTCCTCGCTGACATGTTTTTTTCTCTAAGTGCTGTTGAAAGGAGGGACATTATTAAGATATATTTAAAGAGAAGTCTTTTCAGGATGATAATCTCATGCTGTCAGCACTTAATACTCTCATTGTTTGTAACAGGAAATCCAGTTTACAGTACATTTTCTCAAACTGCATCCAGACCAACTCATTGTAATTTCCATCTGGCTTATGATTTGAACGTCTTCATTCACTACAGACATTTCTCTACAGGGAAATGTTGGTTTTTAGACATGTGACCTTCAGGCCAGACCCTGTAGAGTGACCATTTGTCCATGTGATACAGATAAAAATAGAGAGGAAAAAGTGATATTCCCAATCAAGTTTTCAAAAACCTTCAGTATGAAAAAGTATTTAAGACAACAAAACGACGATATAAGTGCTAAAGTTCGATTTCATGGATGCTTCAAGTCTTTCGATGAGACCTAGGGAAACATGTTAAAAGTGCATTTTTTTCGTTACATATATTTTAGTTAGTACCTACAGTACAAGGGGGGAAGATTATGAAGCATGAGACTTCACAAGCTGTGACAAACTGTTGCAGGAAAATAAAAGCAACAATTTCCAAAACACTGAAAACACAAGATGAGTCTTTTCTCTTCTTCTCCTTGAGTGCCAGCATGTTGGTAAGACCCTCTTAGTTTATTAGATCTCTGGTGTTAAGCTTAAAAATATGAAATGAGCTGTTGCTGTCCAATCGACCACGAAGCATGAACAGCTTCTGTTTTCTTCATCGGCGGAGTCAATTGGGAAGGGACTTCTTTTTCAATACAAAGTCAAACTAGAGGTGGATTGATTTAGACGTTCTAATTTTTTTTCTTCCTCACATCAATTGTCATTTTGAAAAAAAAACAAAAACAAAAAAAAAAAAAACAAAAAAAACAACAACTAAAAAACTGAACATGTAAAATGTGTTCTCTTCATTTTAGACTTCTTCATTTTAGATGGTACAGGCAGGATTCAAAGTGGTCAGTCATTCTCGGGCAATTTCTTTTTCTCTCACTGTGGAGGCGGGACTGGAGCTGAGGGGTGGAGTGTTTCCCCGGGAAGAGGGGTGGTGGGCTCTGTGAAGGGTGAAACAGGGGAAGGGAAGAAAAATGTTAAGAATTTGAACAACTTGGAAGCTGTCTGGTTTTAGGATATAAAATGTTCTCCTTGTTTTGAGACCTCAGGTGGAATAACTGGAAGAAGGAATTAAAATAAACCTGATAAAAGTGTATGTGTCAAGAATTTAGATATTATATTACATGGGACTAATTGCCTTTCTGTCTAGTCTGTTCAATACACTCCCCTAATTTTTGTTGGTACTTTCACACCCACCCAAATTATAGAGATGAAAAATAAATAAAAAGGTAGCATACAAATAGATTCAATTAATTCATGTATGATGTATTAAAAAACTTCTGATCAAAATAGTCCTTTGATCAATTTAAATGATTAGATGATTGACAAAAAAACGTATTAACCATTTTGATAATAAAGTCAATGTTTAACATTTCCTCCTTCCAGCTCTTCAAAATTAAGGATTTGCTGCTTTTCCCTGTTTTTATATCATTGTACTTAGAAGATATTTGGGTTTTGGATTATTAGTCAGACAAAACAGCCATTTTGAAGACGTTACCTGTTTCCTGACAAAACACCTTTATGGAATAAACAATTAATTAATTAATCACAACAGTAATTGATAGAGCACCTTATATGTTTTTACATAATCTGTTCACTGCACCTTATATTTTTACTTTGCACTACAATTATACTGCTTATTTATACATTTTTATAAATTTTTTATATTGCTTTTTTTGATATGTCTAGGGTGTTCTCTTTACTTTAATCTATTAATTAATAATTAAAATAATACTAATTGTAGTACTATCAATGAAACCTTGGAATACACATATGACTCATACTCAATAAGTATTATTTTTCTTTTTGATTACTTGGTGAGATGTGCTGTTTTATGTTAACATGACATAACATCATAAGTAATGATATGAATAAATAAATGCAATAATACAAACTTTGACAAAATCCTGTCTGTACCATAACATTAACAGCTCCAACTCACCATGGAGTACCGGAGTAGTGCTGGAGCTGGAGCTGGAGTGTGCAGCTGGGGTCGGGCCTGGGGGGCAGGGGGGCGAGGTGTGAGCACTCTGAGGTGGTTGGGACTCAGGAGCTGGGGCAGAAGAGGCTGGAGGGGCGGGGCTGGGGGCCGGCTGCGGTGCTGGTGTGCTGGGAGCTGGCTGAGTTGCGGTCGGGCCCTGGGGTGGTGGGGCTGAGGTGGCCTGGTTGGAATGAGGGCCCCCGGCCTGGTTGTGCTGCTGGTGCTGAATCTGCTGGAAGTGCTGCTGGCGGGCCCTCATCTCAGCGTACTTCAACTGCTCCATGTGGAAGGACTGACGGTCAGCCAACAGCTGCTGACGCTGGTACTCCAGCTACACACACACACACACACACACACACACACACACACAAAGATAAAATGTTAAAGGGTTTTGTTCTGTAATTAAGTTGACTACTCTTTTGTGATACAACATATCCCAGAATCCCTCACTCACAGCCTCCCTCTCTCTGTCCATGATGGTTTCCAGTTCTTCAAAGTGTCGCAGTTTAATCTCCAGCTTCTTCATTTGGGTCTCCACCAGCAGAGCCACAAGAGATTTGATCTTCCTCTCTTCCACTGCAGCCAGATGCTACGAAGAAAGCAAAGGAGAAACTTTAGAGAAAAAACATAAAGGTGATGAAGGATGAAGCTGAGGTCCAGGAATAGTTAACTTTACCTTGGCTTTGACAGCAGCAGCAGCAAGTGCTGACGCAGCAGCAGTGGCCAGGTTCCCCTCTCCCACATCACGCTCCACCTTTGCCTTCCTTTCTCCTTCACTCTCTGCTTCTCTTTGTGCCTCCTCTGTGCCCTCTTTTCCATCCTTCT